TTTCTGAAGAAGGGTCTAGGCCAGAAACGTCAGCTTTCCTGCTCCTCTGATGTGGCTTGGCCTGCTGTGTTCATCCAGCTCTACACCTTGTTATCTCTTATTTCTAGGACCTACGTTGTTTTGCTCCATTTTACATCTATTTTTCTTTCTATTCAGTCCTGAATATCCCTAGTTCTACCCACAAAGCTTCACTTGACAACTCTTTCAAGATATCATGCCTCCTTTCTGCAGATACTGGCACCCTAATTAATAAAGTGACACCACCTTCATTTTTGCACCCTCCCTTGTCCTGCCCGAAGATTCCATACCCTGAAATGTAAAGTTGCCAGTCTTGTGCCTTCCTCAACCACATCTGTATAATGGCAACAACATCGAAGTTCCATGTGTCAATCCACGCCCTTAACTCATCTGTCTTGCCGTTAATATTCCTGACATTAAAGTAGAGGCCATCCAACCTCCCATTACGCCCTCCAGGCACAGTATGGCTCAGTTCGCTTTGCCTTGGTTAATTTTCTCATTTATGCAACATTGCTACTGAATTCGTGCACAGTGACCTTTGTTCCTGTTGAACTGGTTTAAACTGCTCCCAGCAGCACTACATTTGAACATAAGAACTAGGAACAGGAGTATTCAGAAGAAGGATCTAGGCCCGAAACGTCAGCTTTCCTGCTCCTCTGATGCTGCTTGGCCTGCTGTGTTCATCCAGCTCTATACCTTGTTATCTTGGATCCAAAGTTAGCTTAGTGATAAGAGACAGAGGGTGGTAGTAGAAGGCTGTTTTTGTGACTGGAGCCTGTGTGTAGTGGTGTACTATTGGAATCAGTGCTGGGTCTCTTATTGTTTGTGATATGCATAAATGTTGTACATGAGAACATGGGAGGGATGATAAGTAAGTTTGCAGATGGCACAAAGATTTGCAAGGTGGTTGACAGTGAGGGGGAAGGTGTTAGGTTACAGGAAGATATAAACGGATTGATCAGATAGCAATCAGTGGCAGATGGAATTTAACCCTAATGAATGAGATGATGAACAAAACAAGGGCATGACGCTGCGAAGCTCAGAGGACCAGAGGGATTGGTGACAGAGCGATCCTGGGTTGCTTGTCCACAGATCCCTGAAAATGGTAGGTCAGATTGATGTGGAATATGAGACCCTTGCCTTCATCAGTTGTGGCATAGATTTTAAGAGCAGGGACCTCATACTGGAGATGTGCAGAATTTTGGTTAGGCACAGCTGGAGAACTAGGTGCAGTTCTGGTCAACATACTATATGAAGAATGTGATTGCACTGGAGGTGGTGCAGAGAAGATTCATCAGGATGTTGCCTGGGATGAAATATTTCAGTTATGATGACAAGTTGGATATGCTGGATATCTTTGGAAGAGACATGGTTGAAGGGGGGCCCGAGAGAGGTGTTTAAGGTTATAAGGTGCATGGTCAAGGTGAATAGAATAGTTGATGGGTCAATAATGAGGAGGGATAATTTTAAATTAAAAGTCAGGAGTTTTAGAAGAGATTTGAGGAAACACTTTTTCACCTAGAGATGGTGTTGTCTGAAATACACTGCTTGAAATGCTCCATCTCAGGCAACATCCTGGTGGATCTTCTTGGGAGGGTAGTTGAGGTGGGAAACCTCAACCTTTTTAAAAGTACTTGGATGAACACTTCAAGCGTCATAACATTCATGGCTATTGGCCTAGTACAGGAAATTTTGCCAGTATAGATAGTAGTATATTTTTATTGGTACAGACACGATGGGCCGAAGAGCCTCTTCTGTACTGTATGATTCTATGAACTGAACATATATTTTGGCTCTGTCTTTACAAAAGAAAGCACAAATGATTTCTTAAAAGTATCAGGGAAGTAAGAGTCTAGTGAGAGGGAGAAATTGAAGAAAATGGTGCTGAAGAAATTAGTGGGGTTCAAGGCTAACAAATAGCCAAAGCCCGATCATCTGCACCCCAGAGTACTAAAGGAAGTTCTCTGGAAATATTGGACTCATTGGTGGTCATCTTCCAAAATTATCTAGGCTCTGTAGTTGTTCCTATAGATTGGAAGGTGACAAACGTAGCCCCGCAATTTAAAAAAAAGAGAAAAAAGTAGAATTACAGACCAGTTCGCCTAACATCCACAGTGGAGAAAATGCTAGAGTTTATTATGAAAGATATGCTAACTGAAAATAGCAAAGCATTTCAAAACAAAATTAGTTCTAGCACTTTTCAGCAGTTCAAAGGAGACCTGATTGGGTTCAGAAGCAAGTGTATTTTCTCCTAGAAAAGGAGATGGTTCAGAGCATGTAAAGGATTGAGTCACCTCAGTGAATGAATGTACCTTACAAAACTTGCAGACCAGGAGCTGTCTGTTACAGTTTTGTAGATTTATTAAAGAACCCAAGTCTAAGCTCTCCGCTGAATGTGTGGTCAAGGGAAAAGGCCTCACAGCTTAAAGGGCCAGAACTGAGAAGAAGCAGTTAAGTGAAATTAATGCATTAGATAGGGAAGGAATTTCTCTGGATTTTTGAGTGAAAGTGTTAGGGAGCAGATGGGATTTAGTTTTGCCATGTGTTTTGAGATCATTGAAGCTATGTTATAGATAGATAGCTTGGTTTATTTTATTTTTTTTTGTATAATAAACTTCAGTTTTATTGTTGAAACAAAATCTGCAGTCTTGAGAGGTTATGGTTCCACAAAAGACTGTCACATTAACAAAAAAAAACAAAATATGATCTATAAAGCCAAATTTGATTCTGGATTCTGACTTGTCAGCAGTAATACTGGCTGAAATCATAGCAAAACACATTGGTATTAACAGAAACCTTCAGACAAGGATCATCATGGCCAAATGAGATTGAATACTGCCATTAAGTCAAGGATTATTCAAGCACAGATCAGGGACGTGACAAACAGAGGAGATATAACTTCTTCATTGAGTTGGTGATGAAAGTATGCAACAGTAAATTTTGAGAGAGTAGAAAAGTGTTCTAAATTTTGACAAGGATAAAAAGGTTTATCAGAACTATCAATGTAATTTTGTCAAAGCTATCTTAAAGAAGAGAAAGTAAATCTGTGAGCTTTGCTACTGGTTCAATGAATGAAAATTGTCCTTTCTAGTCCTATATTCTTTAGCACAATAGGTAGTATTTATGAACTGGTGTTTTGGGGAGAATATGTTGGCTAATGAAGTAATACATTACAGGTAAACAATTTCTCCTGTTTTGTACTAGACTGCCTTTAGGAGAGGAAGAGAAATTTAGTGATTTGGGAGATTTTCTTGAAAACTCATTTTTCCCCCTCTTTTGGTTTGCTTTTCCCCAGGATCTAACATTAATGGTTGACAGTGTAACCTGATTATAAGAGCAATTTTAAAGAAAAGGTTAGGTGAGGGATATCAGATCGGATAGTATTACAGTGAAGGCACTTCCTCTTTAATGCAGTAGATCTAGTTTTGAAGTGCAACTGAAATTCAAAGTAGTTTATTACCGGGAATTCTAAATTACCAAATAGTACCAGACTGTATAGCTCAGGTGAATAGGTACATATGATTACCATGTAGACAATTGCTATCCATTACCCTCTATGAGGGGGGCTGCGCGCATGTGTGCAAGGGCGAAAAGGTGCGAGTGTGAGAAAGAGACAGAGAATGTGGGAGGGTGATTGTATGTGTATGAGGGCATTAGTGTGTGTAGGGGCTTGTCTGTGGAATGAGTGTGTGCGCGCATGTGGAAGATAAGTGTGCATGTGTGTGAATGGGGTGTGAGACGAATGAAGGGTGGGTAAATGAAGCTTTCTATTATTTGAGGATAACAGTTGTTACAACAGAAGCTACGTTACCAGTTAATAGGAGGTACAGGTAATGTTAGGAAAAAATTCCATTAAATTAAAAGAATTGTTTATGAGGTAAGTTATAAACTGAAACACTTGTTTAAGTAAATCAGTTTCAAAGGTATTTCAAACATTAGTTACACTAGGGAGATTCCATAATACAGATGAGAAATTTCTTGAATTTATTCTTCTAAATGACAGGTCATTTTAACCTTGATTTTTGAGAGCGTGCTGCTACCCATGACAGCAGATGATTTAATAGATGAAATAGGAAAGAAAGAAGTTTATATCTGAAAATGCCTTCACTTTTAAAGAAAACAAAACACAAATTTCATTTATATCCTGTATGTTTTTTTATCAGAATACTACCTTAAAAGCTCAATTAAAATTTTGAAAAAAAGCTATACCAACCCATTGCTTCCCCTTGCGCTGTTTTTGCCTTCTGAGATGAGTTGAGAAAGTACATAATGGGGTCCTTTTGCACTGTCTGCATCAAATACATCCATATTCGACTCTTCATCATCTATACGTGCAAAGCCTGGTCGTTGTTTAGGTGAACGTTTCCGTGACTTCCGTGGCACTGTTGTGTTGTCATTATAGGAACTGGAACTCATGATGCTGAAATTAGAACCTGATTCATCCATCCAAATATTGCTGCTCTGCTCCGAGTCACCTCCATCATCCTGACAAGACATCCGGCTGTCATCTAGCAAGTCTTCAGGTGGCGGAGAGATGTTGAGGACTGTCCTCCTTTTGGGCATGGACTGCAGCTGTGGGGCATTACTTAACTGATTTTCATAGCTCAGTAATTCACTTACCCCATGGCCACTTACCCCCTGTTCTGGAGTGCAGCTATCTACTTGCATAGATGTGTTGTCAGTTACTGAGGTAGAATGCATGCTAGGATTGGAAGATGGGGTGAAGGTGCTGCTTTGACCACCGCTGGAGGAGACATCTGTGGTATGTACAATTCAAATGTAAATACATAAATTCAACACGAGTTAGCTAGCAATGTCCAATTGTGTTCTGTTTAACTGTTCACAAATCATTAACTCAATAACTCATAAAATTCCAAAATGTGAGAAGAAGCAAATGACATTGGAAGGTTTTCTTTTAACTGGGAGACAGTATATATACAATACTCTTGAAGTTTCCAATCAGGGTCAGCACAAAATAAGATAAACATTGATACATTATAAATCAATTTGGGTTGCTCATAGTTAAATAATTAAAAATGATCTTCAGAAATGCAAAACAAGGAACTGTTGCAGAGACACCCTGCTTGATAGGCACATTCCTGGAACTAAAATGAAAGAAAATTAAGCTAAACTTAAAATCATAACTACTTTCCATTCTTAAAAGGCATTACAAACATATAAATAGGCATGAATCTGATGAATGAGTATGTGAAAAACAAAATGGGACCACTGTTGCATGCACTTCTCCCCTTTAAGATGAAGTCTTCTGAGCAAAAAAATATTCTTTTGACATGCTCCATACTGTTGGCCAAAACAGTAATTAGTGAAATGGAGATCAGAAACAGAAAAGGCTCATTAATAATAGAAAATGGAAGGTAGTTGATGTCTTTATTCAGAATTTGAAATGGATTCAAAAACAGATACAATGTCGGTAAAGTGGTCATCCACACTCAAGTTTGGAGTTCGTATTTATATTGTACATAATAATTAATGAACTTAAAAGCACAACATTAGCAGGACATTAGATGCATGAAACAGATACCAAATTTGTTCACAGCCTATTCCAACCTCCTTAAATACTTGAAGTTTAACATATTCTGAAAATGTGAAAACTTGACAAAATCTGCTTAAAAATGTTCCCTTATAATTTTAATAATGACTTTAAAGTTATATGTTAAAATATAACAATATTCATTTTTAATTCAATGATATTTTCAATACTTTGTACTTGTTTAACAAATGCATAATTTGCAACCATTTTATGAGATAAGAATGTTAAGTGCCTTGTAGTAAGTGCAGTTAATTTTAAAAACTTTTTCTCTTTTTGCCAGTTCTGTCTTTTCTCACTTTTTCCCCTGTTATTCTGGAAGCACCAACTCCTTGATGTAGTCAATAATCAGAAAACAATGGCCGCCTCTGAGCAAACAGGTTAACAAACTCTCACTGATGACCACAAGAAGTTGCATTCCTCTACAGAAGAGTGAAGCTATATGTGCTTGAACCAATTATGAAATGTATTCAATCCAAATACCTGATTTTCAACATCAACTGGCACTGGGTGATACCTGGGAGATTGCAGATTGCTCTTGGAAGATGCCAAGATATGTGGTGACAGATATGCAGCACTAACATAGATTAAATAGTGAATGAGGAGTCAGGCAATCATGCCAGGAAATCCAAATTAAAAAGATCAGTGGCAGACAGAATCCCATCTTTCCAAACGAACAAACTGCTTCAACCCTAAAACCCATATTACTCCCAGCTCAAGAAATGTAACCAAAACATACTATAGCTCTATAAGTTAAAAAAGCAAAACTTCGCAATTTAAAATAATGGAATAGCCCACCTACTCCACTTGAACAATCTTAGCAACCTATTTATGACTTAGTCTCAAGTGGTATTGGATACCAAGAAATGTTCTGACATTGATTGAAACAGCAAAGAATTGCACAGTAGGCTTTAAACCAAACATTAGAATTTTTGAGGGGATGGATGAGATCAGTAAACATACAAGCACTGTCAAAGAACAGTCCAAAGGTCCTGTCAAGACGGCAAAGGCATTTTAAATGCCAGACTTTTTAATGTTTGAGAAAAAGTCCAGTGTGTATTTTTTTTTAAATAAAAATGATTGCATCTATTTAAGTCTGATAATTTAGGCCTCAATATTTCCAGTGCTATATTAGTGATGATTGACTGATCTCACAAGAATCCAATATAAAAGTGGGGTGTCTTTCATTTCAGTCTCCATCTCTGGTGACCACCTTGAAACCGACATCTATTTCAAGCCCACAGACTCCCACAGCTACCTAGACTATACCTCCTCTCACCCATCTTCCTGCAAGAATGCGATCCCCTACTCCCAACTCCTCCACCTCTGCCGAGTCTGCTCCCAAGATGGGGCTTTCCACTCCCGAACATCCCAGGTGTCCTCTTATTTCAAGGACCACAACATCCTCCCTTCGGTGGTCGAAAATGCTTTCGACTGCAGCTCTTCTGTTTCCCGCACCTCTGCCTTCACATCCCTTCCCCACAACAAAAACAAAGACAGAATCCCCCTTGTCCTCCCATATCACCCCACTAACCTCCGGATTCAACATATCATTCTCCGCCACTTCCGCCACCTGCAATCCGATCCCACAACCAAAGATATATTTCCCTCCCTACCCCTATGTGCCTTTCGTAGGGACCCCTCTCTCCGCGACTGCCTCATCCGTTCCACACTCCCCACTATCCCCACCACCTTTCCCTGCAATCGCAGGAAGCGCTACACCTGCCCCATACCTACCCCCTCACCTCCATCCAAGGAATCAAACAAACCTTTCAGATCAGGCAGAGGTTCACCTGCACATCCGTCAACATGGTATATTGCATCTGCTGCTCCCGATGAGGACTCCTCTACATTGGTGAGGCCAAGCGGAGGCTCGGAGACCACTTTGTAAAGGACCTGCACTCTGTTCATGACAAACAACACCTTCCAGTCGCGAACCATTTCAACTCCCCTTCCCATTGCTGGGCAACATGTCCATCCTGGGTGTCCTCCAGTGTCACAATGACGCCACCCGGAAACTGGAGGAGCAGCACCTCATATTCCACTGTGGGAGCCTACAACCTAGTGGTCTCAACGTGGACTTGACTAGTTTCAAAATCTCCCCAACCCCAGCCTCATCCCATGACCAACCCTCCCTCTCATCCCCGCCTCCTTGACCTGACACAACCTGTCCATCTTTCTCCCGCCTACCTGCTCCTCCCACCTCACTGACCAATGCCCACCACTGCCTACTTGCACTCACCTATCACCATCCCACCTACCTTCCCCAGCCCCACCCCTCCTCTTTCTTTCTATTTATTTCAGAGCTCCCTTCCCCCTCCCCCATTTCTGAAGGGTCCCGACCTGAAACGTCAATTTTCCTGCTCCTCTGATGCTGCCTGGCCTGCTGTGCTCCTCGAACTCCACACTGCGTTATCTACGGCTTTCATTTCAGTTTGATTGACAGGTACAAGTAGTTTTAGGCTCTTTGATGACGGACCATGAATTTCAATGTTGGTGCACTAAAATGAAATTATTTTAGAAGGATTAATTGAGTTGAAGGATTATTTATGTAATAAATGGGGTTATGATGAATCAGAATGCTTTTTCAATATAGTGAAGTCTGCAAAACACTTCGAATTTTATCCAATAGAACTTCATTTTGTTGACTCCTGAAAAGCGTCAATGGTGGATCGTAGGTGAGTTGGCAATGTAGGTGAAAGGTAAAGGGTGAGGGATGGGTTGAAACGAAGTTGCCCATAAGGCCAAAAAAGATGATGGGAGGTGGGTGGAATGGCACAGATTGGCTCAGAGGGTGAAAAGAGGCATTTTGGCCCATCGTATCCATACCGGTCATCAAGTATCTACGTATTCTAATCCACTTTTCAGCACCCAGCACATCTAGATACTTCTTCAATGTCTTGAGGGTTACCACTGCAACCATCCTTTTAAGCAGTGAGTTCCAATTAACCACTAAACACCCAAAATAATTTCCTCAAATCCTCTTTAAACTTCCTGCTCCTTATCTTATAGGCTAGGGTGTATTGGTGGGAGGGGTTTGAGGGGGTGAAGGCTTTTGAGCCTTTACTTTGTTTTAAAAGAAAATCACGTGGTAATAGTGAATTGAAATTTCCTTTCAGCTTACCCACATCCACACCTGTCTGCCAAGCACTTGCTTCAGGCTGCTTTTCTTGAGCAACTTTAAATTGAATGCATGTCAATCTGTATGTCTCCATTCCATATTTCATAGTTTTGCATAGTTACTAGCTGAATAGTGAGATAACAAGGTGTACAGCTGGATGAACACAGCAGGCCAAGCAGCATCATTGGAGCAGGAAGGCTGACGTTTCGGGCCTGTGTATTTTAGATATCTCAGTGATTAAAACAGCAATCTGCTTAAGTGGACAGAGAAATCACTGAAGTTTTGCTGTGTTTTATGATGTTTTCTGAAACACAATTAGCGTTGTTACCTCACATTTCACAAAGCTATTCACTATCTTATTTTACCAAAACACTAAATTAACTGGATTCCACTGTATTATTTTTCAATGCCTAGGAATTAGAAGAAACAGTTTATTTTACAAAGAACCAGAATAATTTTCTCTCAATTATTAGAAGCACAGACACCAATGTATGACAATTCCTTTAAAAATTAGCCAATTCCAAATATGTTTCAAATGTTGTTAAACTATTAGCCTAACAGAGAAATATTTTCTCTGTATATCATCTTTTGCAATTTCTGCCATTTCCATCATAGTTTCCTCATTAAACACATCTTTGTCATCTTGCAACATTCAAAACAAATCATCTTCTCCATGATCACTTCACGATCACCCCAACAGCTGTTTTCTTTCCACAGAATCTTCCTATAGAAGAACAGGAGATATAATAACTGCCTTTTACCGCTCCCTTCCCGCTAGCTGGGACCGAAACACTCTTTCCAGTTGAAACAGAAATTTACTCGCACTTGTTTTAATTTAGTATACTGAATTTGTTACTCTCATATGGTTTCCTCTAAACTGGGAAATCTCACACTCGTTTGCTGACAGCTAAATGTTAAGACCATAAGATGGAAAAACAGAAGTAAGCTATTCAGCTCCTAAAAGTCTGCTCCACCATTCATAAAGATCATGACTGATCTGATAGTCCTCAACTCCACTTTCCTGCCTTTTCTGAATAACCCTCGATTCCCTTACTGATTAAAAATCTGTCTACCTAATGATCCAGCCT